GCTCGATAGAGAAAGCCAAATTTATATGTATTTCGTGACTGCGCCGACCTTTAAATTGTTGTCAAATCTAATAAACCTATGGGATAGATGATATAATACTAACACACTTTTTCTTGCAACGACTCGTTCTCGGATTCTAGCAGAAATGTTAGTTTTTTACAATCTATTTGAAAATTATCAATTACGGAATGAATGAATGGTATATCGAGATTCTGAAATACCCAAAGAAGTAAATTTTGGATTTCTTAAACATACTAATGGTTGCTGTGGTGGTCATTATGATAATATTTTTTAATGACTGGTGATTTTCAGATGCTTAAAATTCACTGTTGGTAAATCGTCACCACTTGCCTATAGACCTAATAATTTTGTTCAGAAGTAACCGCTGAATTAAAGTCTGTTGCAAATTTGTTATATATTGTACTGATACAATTTTTTTTTTACGCTATTTCCATAAACAGTATATTACCGAGTGTCATTCTATATATAATTAAACAACGACTTTGATCTAAATAATGTGTCGAATTTTTATATCTTGATCCTTCTGCTTTGCAGTCAAATGAAATCATGTACTACTTTTTATTGCGCGGGATTATTATATTATTTATTTTTATTACAAATTGACCAGAAATTTTTTATATGGATTTCAAGGACTTTGCAAATTTAGTATTATTTTGTCGTCAAGCCATTCCTTAACATTTAAGTTATAACTTTTTTTATAACAAGTTTCATGTGATAAATCTTTTAATTTTTAATCAACACGTAAAAAAATATTCATCAAATCAACTTTTCTTTTCATTGACTGAGCCGGCTTCCTTTGTTCCATATGACCTTTCCTAGTGATGGGCAGATCAGTATAGTGTGTATAGTTCTATATAGAACTATATAGTAGCAGATGTAAATCAATTAAATCAATTCCTGTTTAGGTTATTGCCAAATAATAGATGTGATGTTACACATAAAAATTAATTAAATATTATATATGCAGTATTTTAAACTTATCAAAGTGCAATTTGGTAACATTTTAAACACATTGGTAATGTTAATGTCATAAGCAATTACGTTTTGAATGACTGTCTACATTGCAAAAGCTCATAATGATATAAATAATGCTAAATGCTTGTTAATGATTTAGGAAGTCTATGCGTATACTACTAGTTTTCAGCCTGCTAGGGTTATAAAAATGGGGTAATAGATTTAGAAGATGAAGAAAAAACAGTTGAAATTATACATCACAGAAATTTAGGTCTAATTCAGATATCTAACATTATGAAGTGATCGAGCTCACAAACTTAAAATTGGACTGCAAAAATTTGTTATAATTAAAGTAGAAATATATATTTTGCACATAATTGATGATTTTAAAATTAATTAATAATACAGTATATAAAAAATAATGGAATGGTAGATTGTAGATGTGAGCTTTGAATTGAAATATTTAAACACATAGAAGAAGGAGATTGTGTTCTTGATATTTTTTTATTTGATGTTGTTTAAAGTCTTGTTATGAATTATAAATTCAGCCTGTCGAAACTACTAAACCCGTCTAATGTCCAATAACTTAACTTTCTTCAATGTCGACAGAAGAAAAGAAAATTTCAATTAAATGATAATTTGAAAAATTAAAATTTTTCTGTTGCACCAAGTATTTCTAAATTATTATAAACAAAATCTCTTT